CTGAATTAAAATAATGCTTACACATAAAAATAATTCTGGATTTTTATTATACTCTAACATAATTTTAATTCAGTGAATTATGTCCAGACATAAATACAAAATCGAAATTTCTTTATGTCTCAAAACAATTTTAATTGATCTAATTAATATTACGTCAAGCCATAAAAATANCTTTAAATTTTTTTTATGTCCTATGACATAATTTTAATTCATCNAATTATTATTATGTTAAAACTAAAAATTACTAAATTGGATTATTATTATGTTGTGACGAAAATAATTCTATGAATTAAAATTATGTCAAGACATAATGAAAATTCAAAATTATTTTTATGTTTAGTCATAATTTTAATTCATCGAATTATTATTATGTCACGAGAAAAAATAATTCCGAATTTTTATTATGTCTAGACATAAAAATAATTCCTAAATTTTATTATGTCCTGACATAATTTTAATTCATGGAATTATTATTATGTCGCAACATAAAAGTAATTGTTTTGTTTTTTTATGTCGTAACATAATTTTAATTCATCAATTTATTATTATGTTCTCACATAATTTTAATTCATCGAATTTCTATTATGTCAGTACATAATTTTAATTCAAGTGTGCTAGAGAACTTACTTTTCTTATATTGGCAGCACTGATGGCGTCAATTTCTACAGTGCATCGCACATTGCTTTCCCGCGTATTTACACAGAACCTTAAATATTTGTTCATCTGTGATATGTGTGTTATGTGTGATCTACGTATAATATATTTTTAAACAAAAATGTCNGATNACACGGAAATAGCTAATCGTTTGTTAAGAATAGCAGCTAGTGCGTCAAACGAATCAACACAAGAAGAACNAGACTTTTCATCCTTGGTGACAGCTACTCGAAGAAATTTCAGAAAAACTGATATATCTAGTCCAAATAGAGGACGTAAGAGAAAGAAGACATTTAACAAGAAAGTAGTTTTAATGAAATTAGCACACGCCGATTTTTTCCCATCCAATGTCGAATTAAAATTTTTGAAACAGAGAGGATTAGGTTTATGTTTATTTTATGTATTAAATGTTTAAGTAAACAGATTTATTTATTTGCAAAAAAAGCCTGAATTGTTTAATGTATCTATATTTTGTGTTTATATTCAGGTGTATCTGATGAGTTGCTCGAAATAGAAAGAGATCGCACGTTTGATGAAATAAAAGAAGATATCATTTCACTTTTTCGTCCTTCTATTCAAAACTTATTACGAATGTGCGGCTTTAGATTGGGAAGAGTTGACAAATCGAAGAAACTCATTATTCTTGGAGATATTCAAAATGGAACTGATTTAGAAAATCAATTGAAGCAAAGCAAACTTATCGTACTTCCTTTGAACGATTTTCCAGACAATCTTCCTCTTATTACAGAATCAAATACTTTTGCTTCTGAAACAGCAAGAAATAGTTCAACGTTGTCTTTAACTCAGAGAAACAGTGATTCTGATACTATTANATTAGAACAAACTTTATCAAGTACTTTGTCACCACAATCTCCAGGAACAAGTGATCTGCCAAGAAGATCAAGAAGAACACAGTTCCGAATAGTTGAAGATGAAGAAGAAAATTCTGATGAAAATAAAGATGATGAATTGTGTAATTAGAATTATAACATTTCATGGTGAACGTATCAAAAGAAATGATTATAAAGACTAGGAGAAATTATTAATTTTTATGTTAGATTTAAGCGTAGTTTTTGTTTAAAAATAATATTAATGATTGAATTTTAGGTGGCAAAGAAGATACTATTGCAGAGAAATGCTTGATATTTCCATGCCTTCCAGAACATGCAGAAGAAATTACTATTGAAGTAAAAAGGAGTAACTGTCTTCACAATTTGATAAATTTATATAAAGATGAATATGTAGTTAATAAGAGGTTGCGAGTCACTTTTGTTGGAGAAATAGGTCTTGATGGAGGTGGCCTTACTAAAGAACTGTTTAATCTTTTTTTTGTTCAATGTGAGGGAATATTTTTTAAAGGTGAGGATTGTATAGTCCCATACTTGGAATTAAACAGACTAAATGAACTAGACAAGTTTGTTACAATTGGACGGATCTTACAGCATATGTTGCTTTTGACAAATCAAATTCCTGTAAAATTATCAAGAATTACATTAATGTTAATTGCAAATTGTGAGCAACAGATTGAATCTGATATGTTAATACAAGAATTATTGCGTTACGTAAATCCGTACTTGCGGAAGATTTTGAAAAAAGCATTGAAGAATTTTAAATCTTTACATGAAAAAGAAACTGAGACTATTCAGGACTTTTTCCAAACACACCGGTTTTTTGCAAAACCAAATCCCGATATATTTTCAGAACAATTAAATATTATTGCCACAGAAATTTTAGTAGAGAAACCTAAAAGGCTCATTGCAAAACTTCGACATGGTGTATCACCTGAAAATCATGCTGATTTCTGGAATAATTGTGATTTTGATGTTCTTTTAGATATGCAAACACCTACTGCGACAAAAATCATTAATTGTTTAGTGACCGACTCTTACTTAACAAATGAAGAAACTGATGTATTGCATTATTTCACAATGTACATTCAATGTCTTGACAAAGATAAGCTGGCAAATTTAGTATTTTTAATTACTGGATCTTTTCTTATGCCTATCAGTATTAATGTACAATTTAATGACACAGTAGGTTTAAGCCAAAGACCAATATTTACTACATGTACCAATACTATAATCTTACCAAAAACGTATGCACATTATAATGATTTGAAAAATGACTTGAATATGTGTTTAAATACAGAAGAAGTCAAAGAATATACCAGCTATTAATCAAGTAATACGTATCAAAATGTCATTTATTATTTACTTAAAAATTTAAATCGAAATATCATGGCTGCGGTCCGTTTTGTGATGAAGCGCACTGTATTTATCTATAGTATACGTTACATATAAATACTACAGATAAATGCGCGTTTAAGCATTAAACGGACCAAAGCCTATGGGCCTCCGCACAAACTCGTTTGTAGCGCGTTACGTTACGTTAAGTACTAACTATAAACTTAGATTCACACGTAAACTAGAACTTTATTCAACGCACAAACAAACTTCACTTAATGTAGCATAATTGTAGTACGTTAAGTTTGTTTGTGCGTTGAATAAAGTTGAAAGTTACCAATCTAAGTTTATGGCAAGTACTTAACATAACGTAACGCGTTACGAAAGAATTTGTGCAAAGGCTTTATATCGTGTTAAGAATGAATAGATTAATATTTATTTATTTGGTTAGTGGTCTTGTGAGACAGTTCTAGTGACAGTTTTCAATTACAGTTTTACGTGATTAGTAGACATAACATATTAAGATATGTACGTGGTAATATTTTAATTTGAAACGATACAAATAAAATATAATGAAACTCTTTGGTGCAATTTTCTGTGCAATTTATTTTCTTTGAGTACTTTTATACTAATGATATGCAATATTCTACGATTGCTGATACAGCGTTAATTTTATATTTAAACTTTTATATTATAAATACTATAACTTTTCCATTTAAACGTTTTTATATATACACAACATTAAGTAAGAACTAAAATATAATTTCTTAAAAGTTTAAATATAAAATTAACGCTGTATCACTCATAACTTGGTATGCGTAAAACTTGCACTGTATTTTATTAAAAAATAAGGATTATACTTAAAATAAAGATTATACGTAATGTTATATAATTTAATAAATTACTTTTGTAGACGAAAATAGATAATTATTCTTTTTATTCCAATTATTTGTTATTTCTTTTTAATTACATATTATATAATCAATTAAATGTTAATTTTGCGTACGTTAATTTCTTCGCAATAATTAACGTACGAGATGTTAAGTACTAGTAAAGATCTGCGAATGAGCGTGCATCTACGTGCAAAATGACACTCCTCGGGAAAAATGGATTAGATCTCATTTAAATCTATCGAGATAAAAAAATGGAAAACTAGATCTAATTAGATCCAAACTAAATCTAAATAGATATAAAGTAGATCTAAATAGATACAAGAGATATCTAAATAGATCTATGTAAATTGACACTTTACTTTTTCTTAGATCTACTATTCTTAGATCTACTTTATATCTACTCAGATCTACTATATTAGATCACCTCAGATCTGTTTAGATCTGCTTAGATCTAAGTAGATCTGAGTAGATCTAATATATTAGATCTGAGGAGATCTAAAGTAGATCTAAGAATAAATAAAGTATCAATTTACATAGATCTATTTAGATATCTCTTGTATCTATTTAGATCTACTTTATATCTATTTAGATTTAATTTGGATCTGATTAAATCTATTTTTCCGTTTTTTT